CAGTACACATCAGCTAAAGCCCCTTTAGGTTCTGTCGATGTAAATCGCAGATGATCCCTAAAACTGCGTGCGCGAATATCAAACCTAAGGCCAACTTTACTGAGCTAGGAGGTGATTGGTTTTCTAAAGTATTTCCCAGTTCACGCTCGAGGGCTCGTGCAGCTTCACGAAGCCGCTGAGGAACAGACTTCGCCATGTTTATGCTGCCAAATGTCCCAAATAGTCCTCGCTGCAGCTGTGATGAACCTAAAACCCGCCTTGCAGCAACGGTGGCCGTCTGTGGGCGTGGCCAGGCCAGAATGCATTTTCAATTTCAAATCGGCTTTCATTCGTCGCGATGTGTTAAATGAAAATGCATTCTGTTTTTTTCATTTTCATTTTCATTCTGCAGCAAACATTGCACATATGTCTTGGAAAATGCTAACTGAAATGCAGAAATACACTGCCATTTACATATTGCATTATCGTTTTGCGTATTACATTTCAAAATTAATTTTGCTACACACATCCCATGCTGTTATGCTGAAAATGTAATCCTGCGTTTCCTAGACACGAGTGTAAATGCATTTATGACAAATAACATTTAAATGATCATTTTGCTACAGTTTCTGCTTGTACTTTATTCACATCAAATTCAGTTAGTGTATAGCATTTTTAATTTAATTTTGCTACTTATAAAGCTTTAAAATGTGGATACAATTTACATATTAAAATAGTGTTTGAAATGAGAAATGCAAACAATGTAATTTAATTTACATTTTCATTCTGCACCAAACATTGCTCATATGTCTTGGAAAATGCAAATTCAAATACAGAAATACATTGCCATTTAACATATTGCATTGCCATTTTGAATATTACATTTTGAATTGAATTATGCCACTCATATGCTTCCATACTCCAGGTCCAGAAGAGTTGCAGCGAGAGCGAGAGAGGATGAAGAATGCTCCTCTCATCCAGGTCAAAGAAGAACCATCAGAGGAACAAGAAATAAAATGCAACACCACAGAGATAAAACATAATGCTACACAAGACGCAGATTCCTTTAACCTCTTCCTGCAGAAACCCGGCTCTTTCTCCAAGTTCAACAGGCTTCTGGAAGTGTCCAAACTCCGGCCTTCATTACCTACCAGCCCTGTTCCCGAAGGTAATAACAGCTACCTCTCCAACGGCCGTAATGATCAGCTCTTTAAGGTTTTGACGGAGAGAAATGCTCAGTGGTTCAGTCTGCTGCCACGCTCTCCATGTGACGGATCTTCTCTGACTGAAGGTCCAGTTTCAGCATCTTCATCTCCACAGCCCACAGCGCCCTCTGCTGGAGCTCACTGCACTGCGCACATCAACAGCTTCCCACTCACAGCGCTGCAGGTAATTTATTGCGCTTACTGTACATGTGTGTGTGTGTGTGTGTGTGTGTGTGTGTGTGTGTGTGTGTGTGTGTGTATATATATATATATATATATATATATATATATATATATATATATATATATATATATATATATATATATATATATATATATATTAACCTAGTTAAGCCTTTAAATGTCACTTTAAGCTGTATAGAAGTGTCTTGAAAAATATCTAGTCAAATATTAGAAATGAGTTATTAAAACTATTATGATTAGAAATGTGTTGAAAAAAAAAATCTCCTCTCTGCTAAATGAAAATTAGGGAAAAAAATAAACAGGGGGGCTAATAATTCTGACTTCAACTGTGCATATATATACAGATGCAGTTGAGGGCAAAATCATTAGCTCTCCTGTGATATATTTATTCTTTTCAAATATATCATGAAGACATTTAATGGAGCTTGGAAATTTTCACAATATTTCCGATAAAAAAAAAAAATGAGTTAAAAGTCTAATGAATAAATGTTTATTAGACTAACATTTCAACAAAATTGTATATATTTTTTTGTTTCTCTTGTTGTTAGCTATTTTTTAAAATTTTTGTTAGATGAGCTCTAGATTTGGCTTCAGTACTAACTAATGTAATGTATATGCACAAATATAATATAATATTATAAAGAATCCTATAGAAAATAGTCATTTAAATGAGAGATCGATGGGGGGTGTGCTTATATATGCTGAGCACTTTGTGTGTGTGTGTGTATGCGTGCGTGTATGCGTGCGTGCGTGCGTGGGTGCGTGCATGCGTGCGTGGGTGCGTGCATGCGTGCGTGCGTGTGTGCGTGTATATATATAACTTTTTGGATTCTCGGATGCAGTAGAAATAAAAAATGTAAAACAGGAATTACATTGGGACCATTGTTTTTGTTTTTACCCCTTAAAATGGCCCTAAAAATATATATATAGAGAGAGAAAGAGACAGACACACTTTAAAGAACATTACACACACACACACACACACATATATACATACATACATACATTACATACATATATATATATATATATATATATATATATATATATATATATATATATATTTTTTTTTTTTTTTTTTTTTTTTTTTTTTCCAAAATGATGTTTAACAGATTCAGGAAATTTTCACAGTATGTTTGATAATATTTTTTTCTTCAGGAGAAAGTCTTATTTGTTTTATTTTGGCTGGAATAAAAGCTGTTCTTAATTTTTTAAAAGCCATTTTAAGGTCAAATTTATTTGCCTCTTTAAGCAACTTTTTTTCCGATAGTCTACAGAACAAACCATCGTTATACAATAACTTGCCTAATTACCCTATCCTGCCTAATTAC